TGTTCAGGGATGTTAAGCCTCATTTCCTCTTAGAAAATTGCCCATTGCTAACCATATTTGTCAGCAAGCAGTCAATACTTGTTATCCTCACTGGCTGAGCACCTTCCAAAACCTTAATGTATTTATTCTCACAACATCACTGTGATGTAGGGAAGTAATAGTATTCCTATTGTTACAGATGGGGAACTGAGATGCAAAAGGACTGAGGACTTGTCTGCACAGGAACACTCAAAATTAATTGCTGTGTGAATTTAAAGTGGATTAGTTAAACCACATTAAACCCCCATAGTGGCATTTTAATTTGGAATTAAAGTAGCCTTAATTTGATTTAGTGATTTTAAATTGGATGTGATTTAAAATAAACTTAATTAAGTCCACTTTAATTCTGAACGAGGGTGATCATACAGGGGTTTAGTGCAATTTAAATTCATGCCTTTAGTTAATTTGGTTTCATTTTGATGAGTGTCCTTTTGTAGACAAACTCTAAGAACCAGATTTACAAATGTGGTTATGTTACTAAAAGTGTAGATAAGTATCTAAGGGTATGTCTACACTACAAAGTTAGTTCGAACTAACGGAGCGCTTAGTTCGATCTAGGTAATCCTCATTCCACGAGGATTAAGCCTAGTTCGAACTTACTAGTTCGAATTAAGGGCTGTATAGAACCTTAATTTGAATTAGTGGGAGGCTAGTCCTCCCCAGGTTTCCCTGGTGGCCACTCTGGCCAACACCAGGGAAACTCTATGCCCCCCTCCCGGCCCCGGACCCCTTAAAGGGGCACGGGCTGGCTACGGTGCCCGTGACAGGTGCAAGCCTGCCAGCACCCAGCTAGCAGACCCTGCACCTGGCACGGTGACAGTGATTGTCAGCCTTGTTTTGCCCTGGATATTTTCCAACTGTTGAAAAAAGCTGCCAGCATAGACAAAGCATGGCTGAGACCATATTTCACAAAATGTCAATCATATTTTCTGCAGTAGTATTGAAAATGGTACTGTCTTGTCCATACTGGCAGCCAACCATTTCCAACACCAGTTTGAAAGGTGTGAGGAGAGGAGGAGCCATTCCCTGCTTTTCTTAGACTTCCTGTGTGACTTTGGGCAAGTTGCGTAGTGCCAAGTGTACAAAGATATTTAGGTTCATAAAGATTCAGATAGATGCCCCATGGGATTTAAAATAAAGCAGATAAACAACTTATGCACACAACTCCCACTGATTTCAACAGGAATGAGGTGCTTAACCTGCTTAGGTTCTTTCAAAAACTCTATTAGGGTACGTCTACACTACAACGTTAATTCGAACTAAGGGTATGTCTACGCTGCATCCCTAGTTCGAACTAGGGATGCAGCGTAGACATACCCTTAGTTCGAATTAACGTTGTAGTGTAGACGTACCCTAATAGAGTTTTTGAAAGAACCTAAGCAGGTTAAGCACCTCATTCCTGTTGAAATCAGTGGGAGTTGTGTGCATAAGTTGTTTATCTGCTTTATTTTAAATCCCATGGGGCATCTATCTGAATCTTTATGAACCTAAATATCTTTGTACACTTGGCACTACGCAACTTGCCCAAAGTCACACAGGAAGTCTAAGAAAAGCAGGGAATGGCTCCTCCTCTCCTCACACCTTTCAAACTGGTGTTGGAAATGGTTGGCTGCCAGTATGGACAAGACAGTACCATTTTCAATACTACTGCAGAAAATATGATTGACATTTTGTGAAATATGGTCTCAGCCATGCTTTGTCTATGCTGGCAGCTTTTTTCAACAGTTGGAAAATATCCAGGGCAAAACAAGGCTGACAATCACTGTCAATAGTGGGTCATTTTCCTGATGTAGTCAAGGCCCAAATGTTGGACTCTTGCTGCTTCTGTTTATTCACACTTCGGATAAACAGAAACCATGCATATGCATGCCTCCTATATATATATATAGGAGGCATGCATATGCATGGTTTCTGTTTATCCGAAGTGTGAATAAACAGAAGCAGCAAGAGTCCAACATTTGGGCCTTGACTACATCAGGAAAATGACCCACTATTGACAGTGATTGTCAGCCTTGTTTTGCCCTGGATATTTTCCAACTGTTGAAAAAAGCTGCCAGCATAGACAAAGCATGGCTGAGACCATATTTCACAAAATGTCAATCATATTTTCTGCAGTAGTATTGAAAATGGTACTGTCTTGTCCATACTGGCAGCCAACCATTTCCAACACCAGTTTGAAAGGTGTGAGGAGAGGAGGAGCCATTCCCTGCTTTTCTTAGACTTCCTGTGTGACTTTGGGCAAGTTGCGTAGTGCCAAGTGTACAAAGATATTTAGGTTCATAAAGATTCAGATAGATGCCCCATGGGATTTAAAATAAAGCAGATAAACAACTTATGCACACAACTCCCACTGATTTCAACAGGAATGAGGTGCTTAACCTGCTTAGGTTCTTTCAAAAACTCTATTAGGGTACGTCTACACTACAACGTTAATTCGAACTAAGGGTATGTCTACGCTGCATCCCTAGTTCGAACTAGGGATGCAGCGTAGACATACCCTTAGTTCGAATTAACGTTGTAGTGTAGACGTACCCTAATAGAGTTTTTGAAAGAACCTAAGCAGGTTAAGCACCTCATTCCTGTTGAAATCAGTGGGAGTTGTGTGCATAAGTTGTTTATCTGCTTTATTTTAAATCCCATGGGGCATCTATCTGAATCTTTATGAACCTAAATATCTTTGTACACTTGGCACTACGCAACTTGCCCAAAGTCACACAGGAAGTCTAAGAAAAGCAGGGAATGGCTCCTCCTCTCCTCACACCTTTCAAACTGGTGTTGGAAATGGTTGGCTGCCAGTATGGACAAGACAGTACCATTTTCAATACTACTGCAGAAAATATGATTGACATTTTGTGAAATATGGTCTCAGCCATGCTTTGTCTATGCTGGCAGCTTTTTTCAACAGTTGGAAAATATCCAGGGCAAAACAAGGCTGACAATCACTGTCAATAGTGGGTCATTTTCCTGATGTAGTCAAGGCCCAAATGTTGGACTCTTGCTGCTTCTGTTTATTCACACTTCGGATAAACAGAAACCATGCATATGCATGCCTCCTATATATATATATAGGAGGCATGCATATGCATGGTTTCTGTTTATCCGAAGTGTGAATAAACAGAAGCAGCAAGAGTCCAACATTTGGGCCTTGACTACATCAGGAAAATGACCCACTATTGACAGTGATTGTCAGCCTTGTTTTGCCCTGGATATTTTCCAACTGTTAGTTACATTTACTTCTGGGAAAAAATAGTAACCCTTTCTGGTCTGATATATCTTTTCCTCTTGTTATTTGAACAATAAGTTCAAATAAATATTTTAGAGCCAAATTAAAGTGTCCTTGTTTATTTTATTCAAAATTGCACAAATACCTGTTTCTAGATATATACGGATTTGCACACCAAATATAATCATTGAATGCAAAGGTCTGCTCTATACTTTAAAAATTTGACTTGCGTAGTTAGGCTGATGTTTTAATAATATTGTTATGCCAGTAAAAAATGCAGTTATACTGACTTGGAGGCACTTATATAAGGCACTTTAGTTTATATTGCTTTGTTGGACTGGAATAAGTTATATACCTATGCAAGCACATGTACATTAGAATGACTGTATTGATGTGGGGGAAGGGAGGAATTTCTGCTCAAATATGCTGGCATAACTAAAGAGGTAAAATTGTATAGTTTAGACAAGGTCTACTGGAGTTGTATAACATCCATTTACAAATCCAGAATTATATGACTCTTTGAAACTGGACAAAAACTTGACCATCAGAGGGTAAACTCCTTCCTTTTGAAGAATATTTGTGCCTAAATTATTTATATGCTATTAAGATGCATGTTATTGATTCCATATGTAATTTCTCAAGACTAGAACTATGCAGCATACCTCACAAGTTTAGAATATAGTGTTGAAAACTCTGACCAATAACAGTAATAAAACAAAACTACAGGTTGAACCTCCCAAATCAGGGACTCTCTGGTCCAACAATATCTGTGGTCCAGCAGGGCCATGGATGTTGCTGGACCAAGGAGCCCTGGAGGTGGGAGTGGGACCCAGGTGGAGAACACAGGGCTGGGTAGCCCTAGCTGGGCCAGCAGTGGCTGGTCCAGGTGGCGGCTGGAGAGCCCCGGTCCAGCTGTGGAACTCCTGGCATCAGTAGGGCCAGGTGGCAAATGGGGAGCACCCACCCCAGCCAAGGAACCCCTGGTATCAGCCAGGACAGGTGGTGAATGTGGAGCCCCTCCCCCAACTAAGGAACTCCCTGCAGCAGCAGAGCCAGGTGGCCCCAGGCCAGAGAACCCCAAGGAATTCCCCAGCAGGAGCAGGACTGGCCCTGGCAACCGGGGAACTCCCCAGCTTTATCTGGGCCAGGGAACCCGAAGAATCCCCAGTAGCAGTGGGGCTGTGGTGGCCGAGCGGCCAGAGAAACCCAGCAGCAGCAGGCCGGGTGGCTCCAACCAGGGAACTCCCCAGCATCATCGGGACTAGGTGGGGCCAAGGAGCCATGATCGGAGACCCTAATCCCTAGCAGCAGAGTGGCTGGGTTGGCCAGGCAGCCCCAGCCAGAGAACCCCCAGGGAGCAACAGGGACCTCTGGGCTGTGGAGTCCTTGGGAATCCCCAGAGGCAGTGGAGCGGACGGCTTCTGAAAGGGGCTGGCAACAATCGTGTGGTCCCAGGAACCCTGGCGGCAGCAGAGTGGGATCCCCAGCCTGGAGAGTCTGGGAGTAGGACAGCCAGTAGGGGAGCATCCCTGGTCCGGAAAACTCTCTGGTTCAGGACCACTCAGGTCCCGAGAGTGCCAGACCAGGGACATCCCACCTGTATTGTTTCCCAAAATGAGTCAGTTAACCTCAAGACTCTGGATTAAAGTCACAAAGTAAAAGGCATCATTAGTGTATTGACTAATATGTAGCTAATCATTTTGTTATAACATTTCTTTCTTTCCTTCTTTCATTCTAGGCATCAGAAGTCTCCCGGAATAGAGGCATATCTCTGTTGACCAGACCAGGCAACAGCCTAGTAACAGCTATTCGAAACCAGCACCATCATGAGTCATTACCTCTAGGTAAGTAGGGCCTTCTATTATTTTTTTCTTCCTAGTGGGGCTCCTCGGGAACTGTTTTAGGACCTTTCAACAATCATACCCCTTACCTAGCTCTCCAACCCATTCTTCCTTAATGAGGAGCCAGGTGATATTATATCAGTGGTGATCACATTGTATTAGTGTATGATTTCTCCCATATGCTGTATTATCACTATTTGACAAGTAATTTTCAGTTGCACATTTGTTATCCTCTGCAAAAGTGTCACTTGTTTCTAGAGTTGTGATTTTAACTATTCCAGCTTACAATGACAAGATTGTCGCATTTCTACGCCAACCAAACATTTTTGAGATGCTGCAAGAGCGTCAGCCAAGCCTGGCCAGGAACCATGCACTCAGGTACTGATTTGTTCCAAGTCGCTATAAACCTTCTCTTTAATCCTGTCTCCTGCTGACTTTCAAGCCAGCAGATAAGGTGTTCCATGAGGCCTTGAAAGAAGGACATCCTCTATCTCCAGGCCACCAGTTATTCATTATACCATTCCATGGCCATTCATCATCATCATCATCATCATCAACAACCATGGGCTCAATGCCTGTTGGTGTCCGATGCCTCCCTCACTATTTCCTTTCCACCCTGACAAGCAGTCAGTGGGGAAGTCAATGGGACCTAGGCTCAAAAAGTCACTTAGATGCTTTGAAAATGTCACCCCTTCTGTGCACAGTATAAATGTGTACATCCAGGTCCTTCTCTGTAGATGGGGAGTGCTCACTACAGCTCAGTATTGCTCAGTCTTGAACCTGTTCTTATTATGATGTTCTCTACCCCCTCTCCTGTTTCCCTTATTTTCCTTGTTCTCTTTGTAGAGTTCACCTGTTGGCCTCCTTGTATCATCTTCTACATTTCAGATGCGTTTTCTCTAGAAGATGAGTCAAGTCCTTGTTAACAGGAAAAATGAAGAAGTGCCCTAGTTTCCATGGTCACCACAAAAGTTTCAGATTTTGCTAACAGAGTCCATATAGCTCAGTTATTATTTTTCACAGGCACCCAAGTATAGGAAAGAAGTGTGGTATATGTGGGTACACGGCCACTATATTTATGCCTCAGTGGCAAAAAATGCTATACATCTGCCTACAGTTATCTTATTCTTCAGAGGTTTGGGTGAAATCCTGGCTCCACTGAAGACAATGGCAAACTTCCCATTGACTTCAGTGGCAACAACATTTTACCCCTTAACTCTAATAGTAATGCCAAGACAGAAAGAGCCCTATATTTTACAGAAATATAATAGCATTATTTACTAAATTGCACTCCTGTCTTCACTTGTTTCCTCTGAGGACTTAATAATATGTTTAACATCCTTTACAAAGTAATTAAACCAACTGATGCTATCAAAGTATTTTACCTGTTCCTTTCATCTTATATAAAAGGGGTGAAATGAAAAAAGAAAAAAACAGAATAATAATTAAAATTTGAAATAAATGATAATTATAAGGATTAAATTAATCTTCTGGAGCTAGACCCTCATTTGGTGTAAATCAGCTTCACTCTATTGGCTTTTATGGAGTAATGCCAGTTTATACCAGCTGAGGATCTGGCCCTTGAATTCAATAAAGGCCACACTGTAACCAGCATAACAAAAGAGAGAACATCCAAGTTTTTCCAGTGAGATTTCTCTCTGAGAGTTTTGCTTGCCTTGCTGATTGATCATTTACCTGTGAGGATCAGACAAAGAGTTCTTTGGGTGTAAAGGATTAAAACCGTCTCCAGGAGGAATGAAATGCTAATGGATTCAGGGAGAGAATGAAAATTGCCTCTTGTATTTAAGATGTGCATTTTTGTAGCTGAGAACTTTTATCATCATCATCAAATAATTCCAGTTTTTTTTTCACTTGTGTAATGTGAGTTCTTATCCCTTAGAGAATAGGAAATGCCTTTATCTCTTTTTTAGCAGAGAACAAAATTGACTAATGATGGAGACTAGACAGCTTTGTGGATATGTAATGAGATTTGTAACAGGATATTAAAACCGTCATCTCTAGGTTACTGTTTTGTTTCCACACTCAATTTGGGGTGGCACAAGGAGATGCAGGCCTACCCACTCCGCAGTATCCCAGCCCATAGCCCTACCAGTGGCAGAGTGCCCCTTGGTCAGCAGGGAGCCTGACCTGACTGGATCTTTGGCAACAATACAGCTGAAGTAGGATCAGCTGTCCCTGGGCTATTTCCGAACTCCCGCCTCCAATTGTATCTGGATCTGTAGCAGGTCCTCTGTGGCTAGCTGGTAGAAGGCCTGAGGTAATCCTGGCTACTCTTCCATGTCTCAGTCAACTGGGAATTTTGGCATGTTGGGCCAGTTCTCAGGGTCAGAGGGGCCTGTGTTGGTCTCCCACTTTGGGAGCAGGCAAGGGGTATCTTGCTGTTTCGGCAACTGCTCTCCAACAGAGTGCCAGACCTACTCTTTAATACTTCCTGTGACATCCCCTGATTTCCGGGGGTAGGGGAGAGTACTGCTTGGCTCCACCCACCAGAATTCACAGAGTGATCCCTTCCTCTCTGGGTCAGTGGGAAGCCATTCTACCTCACTATAGGTCAGAATTCTGGTATGATATAAATAGTGTTGTGTTATAGGTTTTGCTGTTCAGATTAGAAAAATGTGTGAGGCAAAAAGGATATTTATTTGCTATCTTTGTGAGAAAAGCAAAAAAAAGTTAGAGGGGTAGTGAGTAAAAAATAATCCATTCTTATCTTGTGGTTTTATATTGATTTGATTTCTTTTCCCCTTCTTGTCATTAATTTTCTAGGGAGAAGATCCATTACATTCGGACAGAGGGTACACATGGGCTTGAAAAGCTGTCCTGTGATGCAGATTTAGTAATTCTATTGAGGTAATCAATTCAAAACAATTTGTCTCTCATGATGCACAAGAAGCTGACTAGCAATCTCCGCCTCATATTTGTTGAAATATTTTAAGTGATTGACCTAATTTGTTAAATCTAGGTTGTTTTCTGCTAAGGCTCACAATATATGTGTCACATCCTAGTTTCCAGAAACCTAACCCCCACTGGCACAATGAACGTTACTCTCCAATTGCACTGAATAGTTTGGTTTTGGCTTTTAAGGATCAGATTAGAAATGACATTTTAACTTTTCCTGTGGTAATTTTAAAGGTGGAAATGTGATTCACACCTTTCTAAATAACAATCAGATGCTGTTGATCGTAGTGTTAGTTATGCCACTGGCAGCGATCTCTACAAGGCTACCTCACATTAAGGAAGAGCTGAGATACAACAGACTAAACAACCATTATTAAGTAATGGAGGCAAGGCTTAAGTACTGTAAGCAGGGTCTTAGCATCTTTTGAAGCCCCACTGAAATTAAGTCTTTAGAGCCCAGAATAATTTGATTTATGTGACTCAACACAATAAAGGATTACATTTCTCTTGTGCTCTCTGTTTACACTAAAGCATATTCCACTCGAGTTGATTTTGATTGGCATTACACAGCCCATTCTATGTAAAGCAAAATGTCCACGACTTGATCCCACTGCCTATACCTTGATGCAGATTGGCACAGAGCCATGCAGGGCTGTAGCAAAATATCTGACTGAGACAAATGTAGTTAACAGGGAAACAATTTGTATCCCCTGTTCTCACTTTGACCACTGGATGTTGTTGCTCTTACCATTGCCTCAAAACCTTGGCTCATCCATCCAATCGGGTAATGTTGTGTCTTGAGAATGCCTAATGAAACTCACTTTTTTATTTAAAATAAAGACTTTGCTTCTGAAGTCCTGTCTGATTGGGAAGATCACTGTTTTAAGTCTCTGTAGGTACTGATCTTTGTGTTGTAAGTATTCAGCTCTGGTGAGGCCACATCTGTTGTATTGTGTCCAGTTCTGGGCCCCCCACTATAGAAACGATGTGGACGCATTAGAGAGAGTCCAGCAGAGGTCAACCAAAATGATTAAGGGGCTGGAGCGCATAACCTATGAGGAGAAGCTGAGGGATTTGGTTTTGTTTAGTCTGCAGAAAAGAAGAGTGAGGGGGTATTTGATAGCAGCCTTCAACTTCCTGAAGGGAGGTTCCAAAGAGGATGGAGAAAGGCTGTTCACAGTAGTGACAGATGGCAGAACAAGGAGTAATGGTCTCAAGTTACAGTGAGAGAGGTCTAGGTTGGACATTAGGAAAAACTATTTCACTAGGAGGGTGGTGAAGCACTGGAATGGGTTAGCGAGGGAGGTGGTGGAATCTCCATCCCTAGAGGTGTTTAAGTCTCAGCGTGACAAAGCCCCGGCTGGGTTGATTTAGTTGGGATTGGTCCTGCCTTGGGCAGGGGGCTGGACTTGATGACTTTCTGAGGGTTCTTCCAGCCCTATGGTTCTATGATCTATGATTCTGTGAAGGGCTGCCCAAAGAGATGTTTGTAACAAAATACTACTCTACCAAATTCTTATGCTTCTTCATGTATAATGAGTGCAAACAGAGTCTGTCTCTATCGTTTTTCCTTTCAGCCTCTTTGAGGAGGATATTATGTCCTACATACCCCTGCAGGCTGCCTTCCACCCTGGCTATAGCTTCTCTCCTCGCTGTTCACCCTGCTCCTCACCTCAGAATTCTCCAGGTAAATAAAGGGAAAACAACATAAGCTCCTGTGCTTGTTGCACTTCTCCTTTTGACAATTACAGAAGGGCAGATATCAACTGGAATAAATGTTGCCACTCACAGACCCCCAAAAAGCTGTGTCAGTTTACACTGTTGAAAATTGGCCTCCGACAGTTTTTTTCTGCAGGGGTGTTTGGTTAATACACAGAATGCTGTCACTTCATTTGTCTCATGGGACACTGATGGCAGTGGCCTGGTGAAAATCAGTGATTATTCAAGGAGTAGAAAATATTGTCATGGCTTCCAAATGGTGAGGGGAGATTAGACTGAGAAGAGGATTGTGTTCTGAGTCTAATTTATTGACATTCTTGAATATGAATATGAGATGGTAAAGCAAAGTGCAAATCACATATGTATGGCAAAGCTTTCAGAAGTCTAGCAAACAGCTGTAGGCCAAACTTAATATTCAGCCAGACAATGTTTCCAATGCTGCTGCTTCTCCCAAGAATAATACAGTTCAATGCCAGGAGGGACCATTCAATCATCTAGTCTGGCCTAATCATATGTCACAGGCCAAATACTTTTCACCTAATTATCTTGTATTGAGCCAATAAATTGACTAAAACATGTTTTCCTGAAAGGTGTCCATTCATAGAAGATTATTTCCAAGTGCTCTGTATCACTGAAATATTGTCTGTGCTAAGAAAATCAATCAGCAGGTGGCTCTATTAGCTAAAAGGAGACTGCATTAGTCTACACTTCAACCATGCAATTGCCTTGGTGGTCATTTTGAGTGACATCCCAGGAATATGCTCTTAAATCAGTGTAGGCTGTTTTCAGAGCCATCTGGGCTGTTTGGACACCCGGTTCCTATTAAAATGAATGAGAAATGGGTGCCAAATCCTCTGATGACTTTGCAAATATCAGTCTTAATATTTTTGTGGAGAAACACTGATGTCTTGTATATGCAGGGGAGATCTTTGAAAAATGTCCTGTTGTAACCACTGGATTTTCTGATTTCAAATCAGGGATAAAGGTCCGTGCAAATTGTGTTTTTCATTCTCTACAGCAGGGATTTGCACCTGTACTGATTACTGACATAATATGGGCATATATCAATTTTGCATGAGATTTAAACATTTGACCAATATCCTCACTCATCAGTGTGATGAGAGCCATACAGTGGCTTTTAACCTTTTTGTGGCAAGATGGCAAATATTGATTTCAGCGAATGTTTTATATGTTCATCTGTACTACAGGTTGGAACTCCTTGGTCCAGCACTCTGGGGACCTGACCGGTCCTGAATTAAGGAATTTGCTGGATCAAGAGAGATCCTAGGCCACCGGCCTCCCAGGATACTGCCCCTACCTCTGGCTAGCTCCTCTCCAGCCCAACTGCCACTGGGCTCCAGCACTGCTGCTACAGGGCTTGGGCTCAGCATGCTGCCACCAGCTGTCTGGGGCTCTCCAGCCACAGAGCTCCCCGGCCATTGTGGTCCCACTTCTGCCCAGCCTAGCCGAGGCTTCTCGGGGACAGGGCTCCGCAACTGCCCCACTTCTGTCCTGCCCAGGGCTTCCCAAGGACTAGGCTCTGTGGATGCCCTATTGCTGCTGTGCCCTGCCAGGGCTTCCCGGAGACAGGGCTCACTGCCTGCTGGCAGCCTTGCTGCTACCACACCGCACCACACCAGGGCTCTCCTGTGACGGGGCTCTGCAGCTGCCCCGCTGCTGCTGCGCCAGGATGGGGCTACACAGAGACAGGGCTCGCCAGTCCTGCTGCTGCCCTGCCTGGCCAGGGCACTGCGGGGAGGGAGCTCACCTGTCTGATGGTGAGGTTCCCCTCCCCTGGACTCCCTGACTTGCTCGGATTCCAGGTGCCAGGGCTCTCTGGTCCAGCAACATCCATGATCCTGCTGGACCACAGATGTTGCCGGACCAGAGAGTCCTGGATTTAAAAGGTTTAACCTGTACTGGTTGCAGCATCCCCAAAGTACTTCTTGAATAACTCATAATTTCTTTTCTTGTGTGAGGTAAAATATGCTCTAACAAAACAAGAGAAGCTTCACTCGGGATTCCCCTTGCATATTGTATAAATATGCCTTTCTGTTTTATCATCTGAGTCAATAGTAATATCCTTCCCCCTGCTACAAATGAGTCTTCACAGATACTTTATATTTCAACTGAATGTATTTTTTTCCTTTTTCTGGTAGCTTTTTTGCCAAACTACTTGTAAAAGGGCTTGTTTTCATTGTCTCCTCTAAAGGTGTAGAGAAATGGGATTTCATGGATCCCATTCTCTAATACTGATTGCTGTGGTGCTCTTTTACACAAAAGAACTAATTGGCTATTTTCAGAATTCAGATTTCAAAACTAAACAGGCCCTGAATTGCTGAAAATCTGCTGTTAATGTGAAAATGTAAGACTTCTCACTGACAGAAATCCTCTCTTGTGCTACAAAATGTGTGTGTGTTTATTGCTGAACGCCTTTAATATGCAGCCGGAAATTAACTGAGAACCCCGTTTACAGCCAGGTCTCAGCCCCCTAAAAGTGCTAAACAGATGTGTTGTATTGTATCCAAAGTATAATTCTGCCAGGTAATGAGATTTCCTATAAGATGGTGAAGAGAGAGATTTTTAAGATTATCATAGAATCATAGGTTTGAAAGAGACCCCAGGAGGTCATGAAGTCCAACCCCCTGCCCAAAGCAGGACCAAGCCTAATTAAATCATCCCAGCCAGGACTTTGTCAAGCCAGGACTTAAAAACCTCTAGGGATGGAGATTCCATTACCTCCCTAGGTAACCCATCCCAGTGTTTTACCACCTTCCTAATAAAATAGTTTTTCCCATTATCCAACCTAGACCTCCCCCACTGTAACTTGGAACCATTGCTCCTCATTCTGCCATCTGTCACTACTGAGAACAGCCTGTCTTCATCCTCTTTGAACCCCCTCTTCAGGTATTTAAATGCTGCTATCAAATCCCCCCTCACTCTTCTCTTTTGCAGACTAAATAAGCCCAAATCCCTCTCCTTGTAAGTCATGTGCTCCAGCCCCCTAATCATTTTTGTTTCCCTCCCCTGGACTTTCTCCAAACCTTTCTTTAATGAGGGCAGGGCAGTATTGGACGCAATACTCCAGATGTGGCCTCACCAGTGCTGAATAAAGGGAAATAATCACTTCTCTAGATCTGCTGGCAATTATCATTCTAATGTACCCTAATATGCCATTAGTCTTCTTGGCTACAAGGGCACACTGTTGACTCATATCCAACTTCTCATCCACTGTAATCCCCAGGTCCTTTTCTGCCGAACTGTTCCGAAGCCTGTAACAGTGCTTGGAATTCTTCCATCCCAAGTGTAGGACTCTGCACTTTTCCTTGTTGAACCTCATTAGATTTCTTTTGGCCCAATCCTCCAATTTGTCTAGGTCACTCCGGACCTTGTCCCTCCCCTCCAACATATCTACCTCTGCCCCTAGCTTAATGGCATCTGCAAACTTGCTTGGGGTGCAATCCATCCCCTCATCCAGGTCATTAATAAAGATATTGAACAAAACTGGTCCTAGAACCAACCCTTGAGGCACTCCACTTGAAGCTGAGTGCATAGACAGCTAACTACCACTGATTTTCTATTTAAGCCACTCAGAGTTAAAGACTCAGGAAGCACAAAGGGAAAACAGCTATCATCCTGGTAAGATGATGTAGCTGTCCAGAACTGTTGGGAACCAGTGAATTATAGCACTGATGGCTGCATTTATGTCAAATAGAATGTGAGAATAATCAGCCCTCCGGAATTCTACATACATCAACTGAAGTTCATATAGTATTTATGACTGAAAACACCATCTGTATGAATAAGATGCTCTTTTAAAGGTTTTAACTCTAAGACTTTGCTCTTTTCCCTTCTAGGATTACAGCGAGCTAGTGCACGAGCGCCCTCTCCATATAGGAGAGACTTTGAAGCCAAGCTACGCAATTTCTATCGAAAACTTGAAGCCAAAGGATATGGACAAGGTCCAGGTAAAATTAAGTGAGTATTGTGTCACATGATTACAATAAGTGAACTTGATGGAGCCTCGTCTTGTCATTATAGCCATGAATAAGGAGACTGATCTGATATATGTGGAGTTACATCATTATCATGTATCAGGAATGAAACATTAGATGTTGTATCTATGTACTTTGTCCAGGAAAAGTGTTTATGTACAAATATACACACACACACACGCATGCACACTTATGCAAAAAAAATAAGCCAACAAGAAGGTTATATGTGGTGGGCTTTTTCTCTCATGGATCCATTTGCTCCTATACTCCTCCTCTACCTATTTTAAGGAGATGTTGGTATTTCTATCTATACCATTTGCTAGGCAGTAATGGTAGAGAGATTACATGTTTGACAAATGTGAATGATATTGACCCAGGTTCAGCTCTCAGTTACAGTACAGGATGGACCTCCGTGGTCCAACAACATCAGGACCTAATCGGTCCCAAACAAGAGAGTTTGCTGGGTCAGGTATGGTCAATTCCAGCACCTCTGTTGTCAGGCTCCAGGCTCTCCCTGAGGGCCACCAGTCTCCCAGATTGGATCCCTTCATGGCTACTGACCCCACTGCTCGACCTGGCAACTGTGCTCTGCTGCCCACCCTGGCCAGGCTGGCTAGTCCCAAAGCCAGGCTCCACCTCCACTTCCACCCTTTGGGTACGTCTAGACTACAGGCTTTTGTCGACAGAGGCTTTGTCGACAGATACTGTCAACAAAGAGCATCTAGACTACAGCCAGTTCTGTCGACAAAGCAAGCTGCTTTTTCGACAGAGAGTCTAGATGCTCTCTTTGGAAAAAGCACAGTGTGGATGAAATAGTGCCTTTTGTCAACAGAACTCTGTTGACAAGCGGCGTTATTCTTCGTGGAATGAGATTTACCGCCATCGACAAAACTGCTGCGTTCTGTCTACTTACTGTCGACAGAACTCAGTGGGGGTATGTCTACACTACCACCCTAGTTCGAACTAGGTGGTAATGTAGGCAACCGGAGTTGCAAATGAAGCCCAGGATTTGAATTTCCCAGGCTTCATTTGCATAAAGCCGGGCGCCGCCATTTTTAAATGTCCGCTAGTGCGGACTCCGCGCCGCGCAGCTACACGCGGCACGGACTAGGTAGTTCGGACTAGGCTTCCTAGTCCAAACTACCATTACTCCTCGTTTCAAATCCCGGGCTTCATTTGCAACTCCGGTTGCCTACATTACCACCCTAGTTCGAACTAGGGTGGTAGTGTAGACATACCCTGGTAGTGTAGATGTAGGTATAGTTTTGTCAACAAAAGTCCACTTTTGTTGACAAAACCCTGTAGTTTAGACACACCCTTTGGTTCTCCAGCTGGGCTCTAGGCCCCCAGCCTCCCAGCCATTGGACCAGCTCCACTCCAAGCCCCCTGGCTGGGCTCCAGCTCCATTCCTGGCCAGGCTCTGGACCAATGGCCACTGGAACGGCTCCACTCCTAGTCCCCCAGCCACGCTCCCAGCCGCTGACCCCTGTGCTGCCTGCTAGACCACAGATTATCTCAGTCCAGAGTCCTAGATCAGAGAGGTTCAATCTGCATTACAGTTCTGAAGCAACTCCATATCCTTTGGATTTACTCTGAGTTGACACATCAATGTTACTCCAGATGAAAATCGGGCCCTGGTTGTTAGACATTGTGGGCTTGAGTTCCTACTACTCCCATTGATTTGAACTTGCAGTGCAGGTGCTCAGTCTTATAAAAATCAGGCCCTGTTAACTGCTTTCTGTTCTCCATTGCACCTAAATATTAGTTAGACTAGCTTCCTTTCTCACTTTGTTAATATATTCTTGAGATCTGACCTTGTAATTCTCTGTCATTCAGTTGTGGAGTTCCCATTCCAAACCACCTACTAGCTGGCTTGCCTCTCTGCACCATTTTCCATGGATAGTTATAGTAACTGGCTAACGCACTGTATGCTTCTAAGGTATTTCCTGGGCATCTGGTTGAGTTCATGCATCGGCCTGGCGTCATACCAAACCACATGTGTTGTGGAAAAAAACATCTGAAAATCAATTTATTCTAAGCAAATGTCATCGTCAAACTATTCTTGCCCTGTCTGTGGAGCTCTGGCCATTGGTTATCCCCTTCAGAGTCCTGCCAAGACAGACATGAAACACATTCCAAAAGGACTGTTGTTACATTTCAGCTATATATGAAAAATAATTTTTTGTGTAGAGGATATTTTTACAATAGGCCATGCTTGTAAGCAGTTTTTGAAACACTGGGCCATTCATTAAAGATGCTTTGGAGAGTAGATGAGACCATTTAGTAGGTATAGATAAAGATTCTCCCCTTGCTTACACTAATGTGTTCTATACTATATAGAACACATTATAACTCATTAATATAACGTGCATTGGTAGATACTTTTACAGATACACTCCCTCTCAGAAGTGTCCTCTTTTTTGAATGTTGAAATATGGTAACCCTATCGTATACCGGTATGTCATAAGGAATAATGCCATCAATGTGCACTACAGTAAATCAAGTATGAAATCAAAATCGACCCCAGGAGTGCGGTGACACCAGGAAGGTAGAAAGGTCATAGGCCTATTTGCAACTCTTAATTTCTGTACAGGGGGGGTAATGGAGAGTCTATGAGATACAGCAAGATTTTGAACCAATCTACTACTTAGAGGAGAAATCTATCTTCAGTCACAGAGTAATGTAAACAAATAGACAAGAATCAATAAAAACCCAAACTAGCCTTTGCACAAGCAAGCTTAACTCCATAGACTTCAATTGAATTTTTTCCTCTTATTTCAGGGCTTAATAATATGGCCCTTTAATATCTCCTGTTTACCTTTATGTATATTTTATAATAGCATCTCTCACTACCCTATTCAAGAATTTTAGATAGTGCTGATTAACAAGATTTGTATTACTATGTTCTTTTGCAGGTTAATTATACGGCGTGACCACTTGTTGGAAGGCACCTTCAATCAGGTGATGGCTTATTCACGCAAGGAGCTTCAGCGGAACAAACTCTATGTCACATTCGTTGGAGAGGAAGGGTAGGGAACTATTAAACAGTGTGCACTGTGTGAGAGTCATTACGTTAGCATTAGAGAAAGTCTGAATCTCTCTTGTTATGTGTTAGGTTACTTCTGGAGGAGTGAACTGGTCCATATAGAATTAAAAACAACCCAAACTTTTGTTCTTCTTAGCACTTCTAAAGTTTCTATAGTTTCTTTCATCTGAGTTCTTCTGAAATGTTAACTGATTAAGACTCACCATCTTGGTGCCATGGGTAGTAATCCCCATTGAGGGAACTGAGGCACTGTCACACACAAATCAATATCAGGTTGTTAATCCCCACCTACCACCCCCACCCCCACTGTTAATCCCCCTGTTTAACCAATAGCTTTCACTGGCTCTTTAAAATGAACCTTTGTTGTCGTTGGAAAAAGTGTTTTCCTCACTTGCCCTAGATGAAGTGAGAAGCATAAATTCTATTAGAAGAGCCATTGTTACTGTCAGCCAGAGGCAGAAAGTACTGGAAATCTGTCAAACTCTGCTTGTGAGACTTCCTGACTGATCTTGCAAATACAAGAAGTTTTGGTAGTACAGATGAGATTACAGTAAATAGCCGGGCTTTTGTTTTTTTATCCAAAACAAACCTTGCTAATGTCACCCACTGCCACTTGTCACGTCAACAGTTATGCTCTTCGTGAGGTTTCATCCCCAAACTTTAATTAAAGAAAGAAATTTTGAATCTCTCCAGTGTTTCAAATAAGGATGTCTTAGAATCCTGTTTTAATTCTGTTGTATGCACAAGCTCTTAATAGAAACACAGAAAGGATTTAGAGATATAAAAAAGATACCGTTTCAGCTCCAAAAATGTTGGGGCAGATGGCAAAGTACGCAGCAATCACATCAGATTAAATTTGCTAAGATAACAGAGCAAGTAAAAGGTTCTCAAGAGCTGAATTCATCTGGAGACCTGCTAGATAAAGTAGAAATTGAGTCAGAGAGAGGGTTATTTTTAGTGTTGTTGATATTATGGACTTTATTAACTACTTAATTTGTGAAAATGGATTGTGTCACTGAGATTTATAAGAGAAGTTCTGGTATAGCAAGTTCCGTCCCTAATTCTGCTGCCACCTTACCATGTGACCAAAGGTGAATCATTAGCCTTTCCTTTGTCTCCGTTACTCATCTGGAGAATGGTTCTCATGCTAACAATGGCCCAGTTCTTTAACTTTACTTGCTATTTTCCCTTAATTTCCAATAACTTCTACTGGGTTTGGCATAATATCCTGCAAATCATAAAAATCTAATTCATTTACATCTGAGGCCAAATTCTTTTGTGCTTTATTCTGTTTAATGCCTGTGAAGATCCTGCTGGAGGCATCCTAACGTGGAAGGTCTCTGTTGAGGAGGTGAGCAGTGGTGCAAAGTGCCCTCAATGACCCATGTTCTTGGCAATCTGCAGGACATATGGCAGTGGTCTCCAACCTTTTTCAGCACAAGACCACTTTTTGAATTTAAGAGCAACCCAAGATCTCCCCCTAAGAAAATGTAGAATAAACAGTCTATTTTTAATTTATGCCTTATGAATCTAAAATCAAGGATATATCATTATACATTTTGTCCTCTATTCACCAAGTATCAGTGTGACACCTGTGACTGCACATTATCTGCCAGAAAAAGCTGTGTTAATTGTATCTATAAATAGGTTCAGATTGTCCTTTAAAAATTGTTGAAATGAAAACTAAGATGTTCTTATTTATATACTGTATCTTGTTACAATGCTAAAGGTTTTATATTTTGAAAAGTACCTCTCTCTAGTCATGTCCACATTTACAATAGAGATTTCACAATGGTAACAAATGGTGACCGGGCATTGATTATCCATAAAGATTTTCTGCCTCTGAACTTTCTCATGCTGTGCTCTTTGGCTGAGCAATGGTGGGGCGGAGGAGACGGTGGTGCATCTCTAGCAATGGGGATAGAAGCAGTGTTTGTGCTGGTGGAACTCAGGGAAAGCCCTGAGGCCATCAGGAGCACAGTGGAATAAGGATTGCCCTCCCCAGTACAGAATAAGTGTAACAGCAAACACCCCAGCCATGCGGCTGCTGCCCCAGTCCCCAGCAGCAGCAATCCACCCACCCACAACTCCAACCCCCAGCAGTAGCAACCTGCCTGCCCACCACACAGCCACAAACCCCGACAGCAGCAGCTGCCCGCCCACCATGTGGCCTTTACCCTCGGCAGCAGCAGCTGCCCGCCCACCATGTGGCCTTTACCCTCGGCAGCAGCAACCCCCACAATGTGACCTCAGCCTCAGCAGCAGCTGGAGCAGCCCTGGCCGCCAGAACAGTTGCCCTAACAGCAGTCCCCCAGCACAGCCCCGGGCTGGGCACATCCCCATACCCACTCGACGTACGGTCCCAGCCACAGGAACGCCACACCATTCACCTTCCAGGTCCAGCACAAAGGTGAGTGCAGCTGCGCAGCACTGCAAAGGAGGTGGGCAGGCTTCACATTTTTTGTACATGCCACATAGGCATGTGCCTTAGAGGGAAGCCTTTGTCAACCATGCCACATCTAGACTGACGCGCTGTGCCGGATCAGCTGATCGTCAACACAGCACGGCGTCCACGTTTATTTTAATGAAGCAGGAATTATTTAAATCCCTGCTTCATTGACTATGCCGAATAAACTAATTTACATGGCTCCGTCGACGGAGCCATGTAGTCTAGACACACCCTTAGAGATACCGTGATCAGCCACTTGATCGCAATCGGCAGGTTGGGGACCACTGACATAGGGGGAGCCAGCACAAATCAGATATTGGGCAGCACTGCTGTGAAGAGAATGTGTTGAATTAATATATCTCCGAGAAGCCTTCATTGCAGGGCCTTCTGTGAGGGATTTTAGAGAAGCAGGCAGATACCCCCTTCCACCAGCTCTAACAAAACTACACCCATCTATTTATATTAATTAAGTCAGATTTTATCTAGTGTAATTCAATTGAGTTCAGTGGAGTTACACCAGTGATTAATCTGCTCCAGTGTCCTTCACTTCTATGGCTTTAATCTGATTGCTAACTTAAGAGTCAGCTAGAAGTTAAAGGGCCACATCAAAATGTAGCACTGAAAGTGTGCAAAATTGCCTCATGCCTCCTTCCAAACTGAATGAGTTAGACATACAGCCACTTGCAATTATGCTACTATAACTTCAGCCTCATTATAGAGCAGTCTGACCGAGCTGCAGAATTTTCCACCTCCTTTGAATTTGTTAAATATAAAAAGTAATGCCTGTCTCAGAAACCATTTTGGCAGTAAGTGATTTGTGACTGCAAGTGATTCTTTCTTATTACTGTATGGAGGTTCTCATTACTTGCTATACCAGAATTGTATAAAAGCTGCCTAACCTTATTGCAGGATAGTCTGTTTTTAATAAATATATCCAGGTTAGGATTAATGCGTTTGTGACACATTTTTAAATAGTTGAGATAATTGAAAATGGTTTGATATAAAAGGAGAGTTTAAAAAAAGAGAAAAGTCATAAACCCAGACAGCAAGATTCAGTTTAAAATAAATGTCCTTCCCAAGGTACTAAATAAACTGGGAAATAGCAAAAAAACTACAGAGCACATGTGTACCAAGTGAAAAATCACCACATCAGCCTATAGGATTGAGAGTTGTGTTAGGAACTAGTCTTGTTCATCCTTGTCTTGAGGGATCACAACCATGCACTGTAAGAAAGTACCCAATGTTTGATTCTTTGGGACTGGAATATACTTCAGATTGCATACGCATGCAGGGAGCAAGAACCCTCTTTTGCTCTCCCGTGTAGCTCCACTGACCATGAATCTGTGTTCAGAATTAAACCAGTGCAGCAAACCTGCTTATATCTCCCTACAGATTAAGGAAATGTAAGAAGCCTTGCTTCACCTGCTGCCCAACTGAGATAAAGGATGCTGTACAGTAGCAAATTATTACTGCCTGAGACAAAGGGGAAATAGGATTTTTCACCTCTTTTGCTCTCCCGTGTAGCTCCACTGACCATGAATCTGTGTTCAGAATTAAACCAGTGCAGCAAACCTGCTTATATCTCCCTACAGATTAAGGAAATGTAAGAAGCCTTGCTTCACCTGCTGCCCAACTGAGATAAAGGATGCTGTACAGTAGCAAATTATTACTGCCTGAGACAAAGGGGAAATAGGATTTTTCAGTCAT